GGAGGGGGGGAGAAAAGGGTCTGCAGATGTAGCTTAGTGCAAAGATCCTGAATTCAATCCCCAGTCTCCCAGCAAAAACATTAAACTTAAAAATAGGAAAAGGAAAGTTCCAATGTTCATCATCAAATTCAGTGGGGGTTTTTTCCCCCAGGAGACACTGGCAGTGCCTAGCAATGTCTGTGGTTGTCACCTGACGGAGGTGCTGGTGACAGAGTAGGTGGGGGCTGCTATGACACACAGGCTCGCCCACCGCAGGAAAAGAACGGCCCCCAAATGTCCACAGTGCTGAGGCTCAGAAACCTCAAACTCGCTAGCATTCACCTGTTTAGAAAGAGGGGTTCCGGCTTTCACGTTGGCTCAGGGGAGTGAGACATTCTACCACAGTGATATCTGCACACCCATGTTTAGAGCAGCACAACTCTTAACATCTGAATCATGAAAGTGGCTTCAGTAGATAAATGGATACAGAAATATGGTATTAAAAATATAGTATTCATAAACAGGATACATGTGAGTCATGTTAGGGAAATCGATGCACCTTGAGAACATCATGTTAAATGAAATAAACCAGACACACAAGCTTAAATATCACATGCTTTCTCTCACATGAGAAACCCAAAGTATAAATAATTTAAAGAGCAAAAGAAATGATAAATAGTGTGGAAGAGGGAGATAGATCTTTTGCAGAGAGGAAGAGGCAGGAGAAGGACAGGAGGAAAAGGGGAACCGCGAAGAGTTAAGATGTGTTGTGCCCATGTACCAACTCCCCGCAATGAAGGTCTTCATTATGTCCTGAAAACGTGGGCTAATAAACATTTTTTTCAAACTGTTGCTTCAAGGGAAACGAATTAAGAAAATCAAACTGAGTCACAGAGTTTTCAGAGACTGAAGATTACTTTAACAGGACATACTACCCGGCTGTGAAGTTCAGGTATATAGAAGCTTCCTTTGTATAAAAGGGTGTTTGTAAATCTGCTTTCATGATGCAGAATAACATCTTATTTTGGCAGATGAAGGAGGAGGAACGTCTAGTGAATGTCTTCCTTCCATTCCCCTCCTTCTGTCTCTCCATTCCTTCCTTCCTTTCTTCCTTCTTTCCTTCCTTGCTTCCTTGCTTTCTTCCTTCCTCTTTCCTGTTTAGCCATCTTAGCCGTTGCTGGGACAAAATACCCGACACCTGCCTTTTGAGGGAGAGGTTTATTTGGGCTTCAGGTTTTAGAGGTTTCTGGCTCAGTGGCAGAAGGGCAGGCAGAGAAAAGCGGCTCATCTCACTGCAGCCAGGAAGCAGAAAGACAGGGAAACACCCTGAAAGGAAGGAGCCCCAGACTGATTAGTGTCCCATCTCCCAGGCTCCTCTGCAACTGACCAAGTTGACGGTCAGGATTGGCCACCACGCTCTCCTTCTCTTCTTTCCCTTTGTCAGTCACCTCTTCCTTCTTTCTCCCCCTACCCCTTCCTCCTCTTCCTCCAGATTCTCCTCTTTCTCCTTGTTTTTAAACCAGCAATTTGAAAGCTTTGTGGTTTTCAAGCATTAGTGTGGGGTTTTTATTAATTACCAAGAGTTGATAAACCAGCACGAAAAGCTCAGTATTATAATGTGGAAAAGAAGAAGAGAGGAAAAGTTTCATTAACAAACAGAAGGTAGGGCCGGGGATTTAGCTCAGTGGTTCTGCCACCTGCCTCGCAAACACAAGGACCTGAGTTCAATCCCCAGTACCAAAAACAAACAAACAAACAAACAGAAGGCAGGGAACAGTTTAGAGAATCATTAAAGAGGACCAAAGTCAAAGGAGAATTATATAATGCTTTGCTATTGATTGTATAGAAATATCAACACTCTCTAGTGGGATCTATAGAATCTTGGGGTTCAATAAAAACCCCAACAGAGCTTTTTCTGAAACTTGACAGGCAGAGCCAAGATCCATGCATAACTAAAATAATTCTGAAGGTGAAGAATAATAACAGCTTTGTCCTTCCAGGATGTGTGACCTTCATTATATTTGTGAAGGCACAGAGATGAACAGATTGGCCAGAGGAACTGGAATCCAGGGCAGTGGCCGACTTAGGAACAGGACTCAGGAAATGAAAGGCGACCTTGGGAGACTTCCCTGTTGTCAGGATAATGGTAACATGGTAATCTACTTCTTTCAGTTGGTTGAATGTAAATCTGGAATCCATATCGTCTCCTTTTCTTCTCCTCCTTCTCCTTCTCCTCCTTCTTTTTCCTTTTTGATACTGGAGACTGAGCCCAGGGCCTTGGCATTGACCTACATCCTCACCCCTTTGATGTATTTATTAATTTATTTATTTTTTGGTACCAGGGATCGAACTCGGGTCCTTGCGCTTGCAAGGCAAGCGACGGAACCACTGAGCTAAATCCCCAGCCCTGATGTTTTTATTTTGAGAAAAGTTCTCACTAGGTTGCTCAGGCAGAGCTCAAACTTGCAGTGCTCCTGCCTGAGCCTCCCAGTGTGCTGGGATTATAGGGTTTGTGCCCAGCTTGCTCCTTTCATTTTAAAAATTCTCAGTTGCATAGATTTTTATTTAAAATTGAGAAGTACCCTGCAATGGATGGCTATATTATATGGGTTAGTGCTTCCTTATTTTTAGTTCAAAATAGGCTTTTATTATTTTAGGTTTAGGATTTAATTTAGAATAGGTGCATTTAACATTCATCATCTAACCATCCGCTCTTTCATCTATCCATGTATCTATCCATGCATCCAACCATCTACTCATGTACACACTCATACCCTCATCCACGCACACTCATCCATTTATCCACCTACATATAATCCGTTCTTCTATGCATCCATCCATCCACCTATCCATCCATTCACTCATGACTCTCCATTCATCATCCACCTACCCATCCATTCATCCACCCATCCATCCATTCATCTGTTCTTTCATCCATGTAACTACTCACACATCCTCCCACCCATATGGCTGGTAAACTCCTTGATGTTTGGCCCATGACAAGACAGTATATCATGCAAGGAGCACAAGGCAAAAGAAGCTACTTACTTCACGGTTTCAGGCAACTAAAAAGAGAAAGGAAGGGACCAGGGGTCACCCTTGTGACCTAACATCCTCCCATTAGGCTCCATCTCTTAAGGCTCCATCATCTCCTAGTAGCACTATAGACAAAGGACAAAGCTTTTATCACATAGGCCTCTGAGGAACACTTATGTAAACCATCGTTCCACCTATAATAAATATAGGGTTTTTCTAGACCCTCTTCGTCATAATGGACTGGCTATGGTTTACATATGGTTTGAATATATCCCCTAAAAGTACACGTACTGGAAGCGTGGTAACCAGCTACTATGGCTTCTATCTGGATGTCCCCTGAAAGCTTCATGCAATGATAGGTGGAAAGTTTCAAAGGTGGCTAGATTAGGGTATGTGAATGTGGATTAAGAGTGTGATGCTGGGATCAAGGGTATGGATAATGGAAGCCCCACTCTGGCTCTGGGTGGCACCAATCAACAGGCTTGTGGTCTGGGTGGAATATAAAGGAATAGAAAGAAAGCAGACTTGCTGCTATTGCTTCACTGCCTCCTGCCTTCTCTGCCATGGACTGTTTCTCCTCTGTGATGCCCTTCTGTCATGCTACCCTTCCTTAGAGCCAGCCAACTATGGGCTGAAACCTGAGCCAAAATAAACCTTTCCTCCTTTAACTTGTGAGTGCCGGGTATTTTGTCCCACCAAAGAGAAAAGTAACTAAGACATCGGCATGCCAGTGGTGAGCTGGTGGAATCTTTAAAAGGTGAAGCCTCAAGAGAGGTTATTAGGTCATTGTAGGTGTTGCCCTCAGCAGAGATAAATTCTGATTTGCTGGAGTAAGTTAGTTCTTGCTGGAACAGGTTGTTGTTATGGTTTAGCTCCAAAATACCTCTCTGATCCTTGCACATTCAGAGGTGGGGCTTTTGGAAGGGATTGGATCATGAGAATGCTATACTCATCCATGGGTTAATCCATGGATGAGTTCATGGCTGAATGAACTGGTAGGATGTGGGACCTGGTTGGAGGTGGCTCGCTAGGCACATGACCTGGTAGGGTAGAATCTTTTCCCTGGCTCCTTCCTTCTCTCTTTGCCTCCTGGCTGCCATGGGTGAACAACTTTCCTCCATCATGCCCTTCTGCCATGATGGTCCTGCATTGGAGCCAGCTGCCATGGACTAAATCCTCTTAAAACAGGATCCAAACTAAACCTCTCCTTTAAGTTGTAGGTGTTGGGTATTTTGTCCCAGCAACAGGGAAGCTGACTAATACAGTTGTGAAAAATAGAAAGAGGGGTGGACTGTCATGGGGTCTATAATACAACCATCCAATTACTGCTGTGTGAGTTTTCTATTGCTATAACAACAAGTGACCAATAATACAAAGTTATTCTCTTAACGTTCTGGAGGTCGGAATCCAAAATCAGTTTCACTGAGCTAAAACTGAGGCTTTAGCAATGTTCAACACTTGGGTGTACATGAAAGTAGTCTGGGCCAGAGAGAGGGGTTAGGTGTGGCATGGTTGGAACAGGCGCCTCCGTGGGATCTGAAGCTATTGTGGTTGTTCAGAATTGCCTCAACTTCCCTTTAATATTTTGACCAAACTCCAAACCTCTCCATCATATTTAGGATGACTGAAGACATCAAGAGATTCAAAGAGATTCCTGATTTCTATCCTAAATGGATATCTGAAGCCAACGACTGCTTTAATGGATAAAGAAACAGCTGGAGAGAAATGAATAATGCTAAAAACAACAGTAACCAATATTTACTTAGTTTGTGCCAAGAACTTGGAACTTGGGATGTGTCCATCACACCCTGGTGGGAGGGAAGCTATTACGACGTGTGAGTTCATGGAGATGTTGTTATCACAGTTTTCAAAGGGGGAAACTGAAGTACAAAGAATCTAAGTCAAGTTTCTTAAGGCCACATAAGCACTAACTGACAGAGTGGAGATTTGAATTCTAAGCAGGAAAGGGAAAAAAACCTTTTACATTATTATTATTATTATTATTATTATTATTATTATTATTATTATTATTAATTTGATGGTACTGGGGATTGAACCCAAAGCCTTGGCACTGACCTACATCTCCAGTCCTTTTCCTTATATTTTAAATTTTGAGACAGGGTCTCCCTGAGTTGGTAAGTTGCCTAGGGTGGGCTTAAACTTGCAGTCTTCCTCCCTCAGCCTCCCAAGATTCTGGGATTACAGGGGTGCACCATCATGCCTAGATTGATTTATATTCTTTTTTTCAAAATTGTTATCCCTCCAGATGGTTTTGAATATCCACAACAGTTTAAGGTGGATGAGTTACTTTTTTTCATACTGTACAGTGGAGGAAACTGAGACTTGGGGAGGGGAAAGTACTTGACCACAGTGATATAGGAACCCCATAGGAGTGTGACAATCCATTCCCCAGGGCAAGTCCTAAAATGAGGTGGAGGATGAAATATGGAGAATACAGAGTAGGAAGATCTAAAGAAGAAGGTTGAAAGAAAGAGATTTGAGGTCTAGGATGGAAACCAACACACAAATGCTCAAAACTCTTTTCTTTACCTTCACCTGAGGGCACTTAGAGCCTAGGGCAGGAGACTGTGGACCCAAAATGACACTCATGAGGATGTTCATGACAGCACTGTGTATCACACTATGAAATAACCTATGTGTCCATCACTAGAGGCATTGGTGAGAAAACGGGGTCTGTGCCTAGGAGCTGAGCCCTTCACAGCAGATATAGGAGAGTGGTTTGGGTTAAAGGCTCTGAAGTCAGAAAACTCCCCCACTTCCTCCATGAAGCACCTTGGGCTAGTTATGACACCTCTTTGTGCCTCAGTTTCCTCATCTGTAGTCAGAGAATAGTAGTAGTACTTGCATCATATGATGACTGAGAAGATTTGAAAAGGTCACACAAGTTGAACAGTGGGCACATGGAAATCACCCAGTAGATCAGTTGTCATCAGGCTAATGGAAGCCTCTGAAATTGATTCCCTTTACACCTCTCATGGAACAAGACCCTAAATAAAAGGCAACAGTGTGTCACAGCGGAATGGTAGAGGTTAGTGTGTCACTTTTGGAGTCCTAAGGCATGGTGGCCAAGGTCTCAGACCCCTCAGGGGTGAAAATCTGGATGCCCCTCCCAGTGAAGCCACCTAGACCAACAGAAGGGCCACCCACAGGTGAGGGGATCCTAGAGTGGCTATCAGGGAGGAAAGCAGAGGAGGAGGCCATTAGATTCAGCTCAAACAGTGGAAACTGGCTCATCTCACTGGTCTTCATTTTTCTGTCTGGAATGGCGATCAGTAATGCTACGTGAAATAAATCAGGCACAGAAGGATAAATATCACACGGGTTCTCTTCTATGAGAAACTCAAAGAATAAATAAAAGACAAGATGATAGGAAACGGAGCTGGTCTGTGGAGCCAGGAAGAGGATCTGGAGACAGAGGCAGGAAGGAGGGAGAGGTGGGGAAGGGGAAGTAAAATTATTAAGGTGCAATATGTATAGGTACCATTTTCCCATGATGAATATATTTATTATGTATCACACTTATACTGATTTTTAAAAAACATTTTAAAATATCCTGAAGAAGCTGTCCTTAAATGCTTCTTTGTAAAGCAAGTAGATCCAGATAGTACAAGGGATGGACTGCAGTGGATGTTGTGGTCCTACCCACCCAACTCCGGAAGTATTGTTTTATCCTTGCTATTGTAACAAGTGACCATGCACTTATTGGCTTAAAATGATACAAATCTATTATCTTAAAGTTCTGGATGTCAGGGTCAAGAATTATTTCACTGGGATAAAACTGAAGTGTTAGTAAGGTTGCATGATTCCTTCTAGAAGTCCTAGAGAAGAATCTGTTTCCTTGTCTTCCCCTCTTCCATAGATCACCCACATTCCTGGGATTGTGGGTGCCTCCTAGCAATAACGTGGATGTTGTAGCTCCCACTCTTTCTCACTTGTAAAGCTCCCGCCTTCAATGCCCCTTTCTCTCACAGTCCAACTCAAAAACAGGATTCTTCCAGGACTGGCGGAATGGCTAGATGTGGGTGTGTAGTAGTTTGTTATGGCTGCCATGACAAAGTAACATGGTTTGGGTGCCTTAAACAGCAGAAACTTATTTT